ACAACAAACACATCCCAACAGCTGTTGCGAGCGCTGGTCTTCATTCTCTTTGGCGCACAACTCGTCCACAAAGACAGTGAACTCGTCTCTCAAGTCTTCGTATTCTTCGTGAGCGACGGCCGACACACCTCTGCGGACGTCATTCGACGGCCAATGCGTTTGCATAGCGTTATGGCTGAGGAGGACATCGCGTTTGACCACTCGATGCGACAATTGTTCATAAAAAGCGAGTCTTCGGTCAATCATTGGCCTCCCGTACGACCCGAACGTCATGTCCATTGAGTCCATGAGTGGTGTCATCAACTGATCCCGAGATCAAAAGCCAACACACATTCGGCGGGACAACAGACCAAACAATAACAACCAAAACGTGTCTCTATTTTATGGCGCAAAATGAGGCCAAAAGTGTTGACCCAATGTTTGGCCACTTCTGTGACCACAAAACGTGTGATTAGTGTCGACTCAAGTGTGGATCAAATGAATGGACGCATCGATTGTGTCTTCAATGCAAACAATCAATCAATTCGTCACATGTTTTGCGACCAAAACTTTGTATTCGTTGCGAAACGTATCCATAGTTTGACAAATAAATACTCCATTCAAACAATACGTCCGCAAAATGGCAGCACTTTTTGCGCCTTACGTTTGAAGGGAACGTTCGCTCGCATTGACTGCAAAAACCCCTTTCACGCCATCCATCGCCCCCTCAACCCCTCCCCACCCCTCACAACACGTCATTCATGAATGCATTGAACAGTAATTTGCATGAATGGAGGCCTAAACTGAATGATGCAATGATTGGACTATAGTTTTGTTGATTGCATTGTGAGACCACTTTTGATCATCTCTTGAAGCGATCGCTTCCACCAACGCTTCCCGAAAGACGACACGACAGCCATGAGTGCGGACAACGCGGCAACAGTTCCGGAGCCGTATTCGGCCAAATATAAGGACACATTCGCTTTCAAGACAATCGCCCGAAGACTACCCGTTATCTTAACCAAAGCTATTGACACGACTTCGCGTCAAATCAAGAGTACGCGGCAACAGTTCCGGAGCCGTATTCGGCCAAATATAAGGACACATTCGCTTTCAAGACAATCGCCCGAAGACTACCCGTTATCTTAACCAAAGCTATTGACACGACTTCGCGTCAAATCAAGAGTCTGGTTGAGTCGGGAATCGTGTCCTCAGATGACAGACAAGAGGCCGAACAAGAGATGAAGGACTCGATCGGACGTCTGGCCAAACTTCGTAACGAATTGGAAACCGATAAGCCTTTCATTGAGTTGGTGTCGACCGCACCCGACGTCCACGTATGGAACCAATGTCTTCGGGACCACAACAATGAGTACGGATTCGATGCCAAATGGTTTAGCAGTTCGTGGCTCTACTCCGAGTGCTATTTCTACCGAAGAATACGGGAAGCGTTTGAAATCACACGACATGTCAACGCATTTGATCCGTTCAATGACTCTAAAGAAGAAGCGCTTAAGTCGTCCATCAAAACTGTGGAAGTGTTGGCGCAATACGTAAAGACATTGTCCGCGAGAAATGATTTGAACGTTGAGTCAGAATTCGTCCGAATTATAGAGTTATCTCTTTGGGGAAACAAATGCGATCTTTCGCTCTCTTGTGGCCAACAAACCGACCAATTCGTGGATCCGACCCAAGATTTGGCTAAAATGAGACATTTTATAATCGATAATCATATCCAAGAGTTGTGGCAATACGTGAACGGTTTACGAACGGCTGGCACTGGTCTTCAGTTGGCTATCGTTTTAGACAACTCAGGCTTTGAATTGTTCACAGACTTATGTCTCGTTGAGGTCTTGGAATCAATTGGTTTATTGAGTGATAAAAGTGTTAAGTTTTACGTAAAATCTATGCCATGGTTTGTGTCGGATGTGATGACCAAAGACTTTCACTGGTTATTGAATTATTTGGCCAACGATTCCAACACTCATTCACCTGTTGTTAAGGAATTGAGTGCCAAATGGATTAATAATGTGAAGACTGGAAAATGGGTGATAATTGATGATCAGTTTTGGACACTTTCTCACGATTACAGCCAAATGAAAACAATAGCACCGAAACTGTACCACAGCTTAAGCGAAGCAAATCTAATCATATTTAAGGGAGATTTGAATTATAGGAAACTGACCGCAGATCTGATGTGGGATTTTTCAGTGTCTTTCTCTGTCTCTTTGCGTGGTTTCCTTCCGACCACTCTTTGTACCCTTCGAACCATTAAAGCCGATGTTGTCGTCGGTGTTGAAGACAAGCAAATGCTGCAAAAAATCACTACATTTGCCGACAATTGGAGAGAAATCGGTGATTACGCTGTCATACAATTGGCTCAAAACCTTTAGGATTTAAGGTTTATTAAATAGTGATTTTGATTGTTTAAATTAAACATTAATTAATCATACTTGTAATTAAACCTTATATTTTATACTTTATAATAATTTAAATGAAAATATGCGATAATTATTACCGGTATATATTTTTTAGATTTTAGTTAATTTTGTGTTTAATTCACTACTACTGAACAAATATTTGTATCACTTTTTATACATGTAATTATACTGATTATAGATTTTGATTGATTCAAACAACACATTAAACTATTTGAATATTTTATAGTTTGTCTCCGATTTGATTACTGATAATGACTGTTAATTTAATATTATTGTTATTTACATTACTATACAGTGTTGTTATTGAGATAAATCATCACTTCTCTCATACCATAGAATCGCACCCAAAATGTTTGAAACAAATAACTTTTTAAAACAATTAAATCAAATGAAATCTAATCTATTTTTTATTGTTTTCATTAAAGCATACATTAATATATAATTTAAGATCATTTAGCACTGAAATTATAAGTTATTATTTCTTAAATATATGGTATATTGAGACTTGTTTTCAACAGAAAAGACAAATTTTAATCATTTGATATTCAAAGCAATTTTGCGTTCATTTAAATAGTAATAAGTTTTGAGTAATTATAGGAATCAATAGATTTAAGGTTTGAGTGTTTGAGTGATAGGAATGCTATCAACGAAACGATACCCAAAGCACCAAATTTACTCATCAATCCGTCCAATGCCTGGCCTTTCATTGAATTCATTGAAACCATAGGCCATCCGTTGCTCTCCAATGAATCAATTCTTCGTTCATTATCTTTCATTTCACTCAAACCAATCAAATCTCTGGCAACTCTTTGTCCATCAATTCTTTGCTTTTGTAGACGTGTTTCAGTTGACTCTTGTGATGATATTCTTCGCTCATTCACTCGTCGATTGTCTGTCAGATCAGACTCTCGTCGGGTCTCATCTTTTTTCTCAAAATTGAGTCGAGTATTCCGTCGATCGAAATCAGACTCTCGGCGCTCAAGACGAGAGTCTCTTCTGTCGGAATCGGTTTCCCGGCGTTCGAGACGAGAGTCCCGTCGATCAGAATCAGACTCTCGGCGTTCGAGACGACTGTCTCTTCGGTCGGAATCGGTTTCTCGGCGTTCGAGACGAGAGTCTCTTCGGTCGGAATCGGTTTCTCGGCGTTCGAGACGAGAGTCTCTTCGGTCGGAATCGGTTTCCCGGCGTTCGAGTCGAGAATTCCGTCGCTCAGAATCAGACTCTCGGCGCTCAAGACGACTGTCTCTTCGGTCAGAATCCGTTTCACGGCGTTCAAGTCGAGAGTCCCGTCGATCAGAATCAGACACTCGGCGTTCGAGACGATTGTCTCTTCGGTCGGAATCGGTTTCGCGGCGTTCGAGACGACTGTCTCTTCGGTCGGAATCGGTTTCGCGGCGTTCGAGATGACTGTCTCTTCGGTCGGAATCAGTCTCTCGACGTTCGAGTCGAGAGTTCCGTCGCTCAGAATCAGACTCTTGGCGTTCGAGTCGAGTGTTTCTTCTATCAGAGTCAGACTCTCGGCGCTCAAGACGACTGTCTCTTCGGTCAGAACCGGTTTCCCGGCGCTCAAGTCGAGTGTCTTTTCTGTCCGAATCAAATTCTCGGCGTTCGCGACCACTTTCCCTGCGCTCGAGTCGGGAATCCCGTCGATCAGAATCGGTTTCTCGGCGCTCGAGACGAGTATCTCTTCTTTCCGAATCAGTTTCGCGGCGTTCGAGTCGACTGTCTCTTCGTTCGGAATCGGTTTCCCGGCGTTCGAGTCGGGAATCCCGTCGATCAGAATCGGTTTCTCGGCGGTCGAGACGAGTGTTTCTTCGGTCGGAATCAGTTTCGCGGCGTTCGAGTCGACTGTCTCTTCGGTCGGAATCAGTTTCCCGGCGCTCGAGACGGCTTTCTTGGCGCTCTAGCCGTGAATCCCTGCGATCGGAATCAGTTTCCCTGCGCTCAAGTTGAGTGTCCCTTCGGTCGGAATCACTTTCGCGGCGCTCGAGTTCGGCATTCCTTCGATTAGATTCAATCTCCGCTCGCCTTTCATTGATATTCTCTGCGATTCTTTCTCTTTGTTCAACTCTTTGTTGGTCTACTCTTCCGAGTCTTCTCTCTCCCATCTCTTGAGCCGATATTCTATCGGTTCTCTGAAAACAATAGATTGTTATAATCATTCATCTAAACGATGCCAAACATCATATTTACAGAATCACTGAATGGTTGCGCTATTCTGCGGTCGACGGCATTAACCTTCCTGTGATCGTCCAGTTGTTTGGCTTCACGTATCCTCCGGTCCTGAATATTGATATCACCGATCGTTGACGTGATATAAAACAGACATATTATGACCGCTGAAAAGCCAAATGTCTTCATCTAAAATAGATTTCTTATAAGATTCATATAAATATGAATACAGAATATACTTACAACTGATTAGATGTAATGTAATGTTATAACAATAAATATATGAATGATTAACAAATGATCTTTTATAATAGAAATTAAATTTTATTCAAGTGCTAAAAATTTACAACAAAATCTACTTCTAGTGCGAAGTTAACAAATTCTGGACTTTATATATGTTTTCGAAATACAGGTCTAAAGAAAATCTACGAATGAAAAGATTGCTTGAAATTTGCGTCAATTGAGGATAATTTAAAAAAGTGTTAAGTAGTGTGCGGTCGATACGGCACACAACCATAATAATCATATTTTCACTGTTTGATGGCTTTGAGCGCATAATTAATACTTTGGTTTTGCGTCCAAAACCATCGTTGAGTTAACGGATTATAAGCCATTCCATGGATGAGGGATACGAAACAATTATCTGTTAGGAAAACAAACCGTTAGTTAGGATTATATTTTTAAAATAATAGCCATTCATAAGAGGTTTGCAAAAGTGCGATAAAAACTTCATTACTTGAGAGTTGTTTGCGAATCAAATATTTCTCTAATACATCAAACAATAACATTAATGCCTTAACTCTTCACAAACTGGAGTTTCGCGTAAAAGAGAAACAATTATTTTTTGTTTTCATTACGAAATTGTTTAAAAATAGTAAATCTTTGAGCCATTTATGATTTGTTTGTATTTGTTTTGGGAATTAATATTCCCATCAAAAGCGTTGTGTAACACAACTGATTGATTGCCACGAATTCGCGCTATTCTTAGCTCTTCGGCAAATGAACAGCCGTTACTGATGGCCAGTATCTGCACGATTGCCACCGCTATAGTGATGGCCCCTAAGAATGTCGTACAGACCAGAAACCCGTTGCTTATCAACACATTATTTTTGCCACATTTGATCTCATATTCGTTAAAATTCTTGAACGAACCGAATATAATGGCAATTGTGATGAGTTCGACAGCAAATAACAAGTATAACATCACTCCCGATATGAACAGTAAAGTTGTGTTCTCAACCAAAACGGCGTAAATAACTCTTGATTTGACGCGAAGTCGTGTCAATAGCTTTGGTTAAGATAACGGGTAGTCTTCGGGCGATTGTCTTGAAAGCGAATGTGTCCTTATATTTGGCCGAATACGGCTCCGGAACTGTTGCCGCGATGTCCGAACTCATGGCTGTCGTGTCGTCTTTCGGGAAGCGATGGCTTCAAGTCTTGAAGTTCAAGAGATGATCAAAAGTGGTCTCACAATGCAATCAACAAAACTATAGTCCAATCATTGCATCATTCAGTTTAAGCCTCCATTCATGCAAATTACTGTTCAATGCATTCATGAATGACGTGTTGTGAGGGGTGGGGAGGGGTTGAGGGGGCGATGGATGGCGTGAAAGGGGTTTTTGCATTCAATGCGAGCGAACGTTCCCTTCAAACGTGAGGCACAACAAGTGCTGCCATTTTGCGAACGTATTGTTTGAATGGAGTATTTATTTGTCAAACTATGGATACGTTTCGCAACGAATACAAAGTTTTGGTCGCAAAACATGTGACGAATTGATTGATTGTTTGCATTAACGCCACAATCGATGCGTCCATTCATTTGATCCACACTTGAGTCGACACTAATCACACATTTTGTGGTCACAGAAGTGGCCAAACATTGGGTCAACACTTTTGGCCTCATTTTGCGCCATAAAATAGAGACACGTTTTGGTTGTTATTGTTGTGACTGTTGTCCCGCCGAATGTGTGTTGGCTTTTGATCCCGGGATCAGTTGATGACACCACTCATGGACTCAATGGACATGACATTCGGGTCGTACGGGAAGCCAATGATTGACCGAAGACTCGCTTTTTATGAACAATTGTCGCATCGAGTGGTGAAACGCGATGTCCTCCTCAGCCATAACGCTATGCAAACGCATTGGCCATCGAATGACGTCCGCAGCGATGTGTCGGCCGTCGCTCACGAAGAATACGAAGACTTGAGAGACGAGTTCACTGTCTTTGTGGACGAGTTGTGCGCCAAAGAGAATGAAGACCAGCGCTCGCAACAGCTGTTGGGATGTGTTTGTTGTGATTCGTGTCAAATGAAGTCCAAAGAGTTCGTGCAGAAGACGAACCGAATGTTGGATCAGTTCAGAGATCAGTTGTTTGAGATGAAACACGCGGTGAGCAAAGAGTTGTCGCAAATGAACACCGATTTGAATGAAACGAGACTTAAATTCGCGAAACTATTACTCGATCTTCAGATTAAGTTAAACGACAAGAACTATAAGTTGGATAAGATTTTGGACATGAGTTCACTTCTGTCGCAGACAAACGATTATCTGCTGAACAGAAGCCACGCGAACGTCGGTATCATCGAAAAGGTGTGCAAAGAGAACATCACATATCGCAACAAATTGGGTATTGATTTGAAAGTGATTTTGAATCGAAACGATTGCGACAACTATTTCAAAGAAGTGGAGCGCAAGAAGAAGTTGTTTGAGGCCAACATCGATAGTGTGATCACTGATGTGATCGCCAATCGTATTGAACCGCAACCCATCCTAAGTGTGG